GGCTAAACACTTGGTTTTGGTGTCTATTCAAGTATTTAAGCATAAATTGCATTTTTTACTATTTTTCAAACAAACAAAACTTTTGTTGCGCTCGAAAAATAAAACGCCGTAAAAATGACATAAAATTGTTGTCAAAGGAGTGAAATAAATGCATTTGAAATAACATTTGAAATAATTATCAATTAATTATTCAATTGTAAGCGAAAAATAGAAAATAATTCAAATATTACAACTATTCAATACAATGTATGACTTGATTGAAATGTATTCAATTCGTACCATTCATACACATTCATCATTCAATTCATTAACAGTAAATCAAATTTATATATTTTATTGAATATAATTAAAGCTTCAAAATTTCGGGAATTCCCGAAAATATAGTTTATAAAAACACCGGGAATTACATACTATTAGGTTTAGGGGCGAAATACACTCCAAATATATCATTTTTATTTGCCTGAATAAAAATCAAATGTACCGATGAATTGACCACAAAGTGATGGCATTATGTCTTCATTGTAAATATTGCTTATATTCTCAAATATTGTCCACTTTTACACTATTTGTTACAATTAAAACAATCATATTTTGTAAATTAATGGCATATAATTATACTGTATTAATATATTAATTATAATATATTCAAATATACAATATAAAGCTAGCTTGTTCCTTTAACTTTAGTTCATTTGAATGTGAACTTTCCAAATGATGGTAATTATTGTTTTCTGACATAATTTGTGTACATTTTGAATGTGTTTTCAAACAAATCAATGTTTTTGTTATATTATTTGGCATTTGATTTAAAAACAGCACAAATCGTGAGACCAATTGTCTGGTGATGTCTTCAGAGAGCGAGTCCTCGTGTTGTTCGACATGCAGTTCATCTGATTATGAGAGCTCTCTATCAGACATCACTCTCAACGATGAGGACATGGATTACGCCAACCAATTGACTCATGAGTTGTTTTATGTGAAACTCATTGCCGAAGACAAACACAACCACAAGTTGGCCGACGAATGTCACCACAAAGACAAAGACACTCAACAAAAGACTAACCAATTGAATGAACGGTCAGTCAATTGAAAGATAAACACTTAAACAAAATGATAAACAATTAATGTATTGCATAATAGGATTGGTTTGCAATACAATCGGTTCACTTCGTGGGTCTTTCCTAACAAATCGTCGAAACAATCGACAGATAAAAGCTTTAAGAGGAAGAGTAGTCGCAAGAAAGAGGTGACAAATGTGGCCAAAGAGGCTATTGTTTCGAATGACACCATTTGTGCCGCAAATCCGGTGATCAATGTTTCTGATTGTGACGACAATGGCGTCAATGAAGTGATAAAAACAAACAAATTGTTTGATTTAATTGATGGCAAAACGGAAACAATGGCATCAAAAGGAGGC